GGATGTCCCACATAAGAGAAAATATACAAAGTTATATTATTTTTAATGGAACACCCTATTTTTTATTTTAGAAATAAAAACTACATCAAAAATAATGTCAGTTAACTAAAGGTTCCCTATTACTATTATTATTAGTTTTCGATTTATTTGAATTTTTAAGGAAAAAAAGTCTCCCAGAAATTAATTGTTTACTCTTGTTTGAATAATTTTTAATGAACTAATTTTGTTTTTCTTATGTGGGACATCCTGTATACATCTAACAAATTTTAAATTGTAGCCGTCTGTAACCTACGTATTCCTCCCAAACGAATTTTTTATATCTTTGGTCGTTTTTCCATAAAGCTCCGTCCCGTTGAGCGTGAGCCACCCTGTATACTTAATACAAATATATATTTCTATTAGAATACAAAAAGCAGATATATTCTAATAGAAATATATATATTTGTATTAAGTGCTAACCTCCTCGTAGACTAGGTTACGTGCCGCCACTGCCCTGTACAAGCAAAATTATTTTTCAAATTAGATACGAAAAACTAATGCAAAAACTCATAATAATTTGTTCTAGGTATTTAGATTTTGTTAATATTATTCATTGCATAATGTAAAAAAAATCGTCAACCAAAAAAAGCTATTTATTTTGTATAAAGAGTGAATATTTGCGGAAGGAGAAGAGCAAGACAAGTGTTCTGAGCAGAGCAAAACGAAAGCCACTGTAACAGTGATCCTGTTATTGGGCATTAAGCATTGTCGACTCAAAGAAAACCTCGGTAAACTGTGATAGTTGAGAGCAGATTTTGTGAAGAGGACGAAACCTTAATTCACATTCTAACAGAATGTACCTACCTCCAGAATCCAAGGAACTAACTTAGGAGCATATCAAATAGAGGAAGGCGATCTATCTGACTTGGGGCCATTCCAAATAATACATTACCTTGAGAAGATAGAATTGGAAGGGTTGTAAATGTTTAAACATCGGCTGTATTAGGGCTCTATTAACGACACAAGAGGAAAGGGGTACAAAAGATTTTATAGGTTATAGCAGTGTATTAAACCCCCTTCATCTTACATAACATACCACTACTTGTAGATGTAGATAGTATATATAATAGATATTTGACTGAAAAGCAAGTTTATATAAATAATACCTATATTGAGATGAATTTTAATCAAAATTGTTGGCGTTCCATTACATTTTGGCTTGCGACTTTTTAAATACAGTTTTATGTTATACCTAGGACATGAGCGATAGTAATATGTTATTTAGATAAATCTGAAATTACTTAGATTTATATATTTAAAAAAATCTCACCTCAATACAAAAAATTCACTAAATTTTAGACAATTGTTCGAAAAATTAAAAATGTCGTCAACTTCGTCTCTAAATCACGATCACAGCCATCTAGTTTAGAAAAATGTTATTATCTTCAAAAAAATTCTTCTTTTTTATTTGACCTCTACCCTCTGTCGTACACCGTATTCAGACAACAACTTTATTATATTATTAAAAATGTTTATACGTTAAATTAAATAATACAAGATACAAACTTAAATAATTTGATTATTTATTGGAGTTCTACCACATTGTCAGGAAAACTTTAGATCTTAACGTACTTATTTTGATTTACCCCATTCAAAATCCATGGTCATGCAACCAATAATACATTACTTTGAAATTAAAATTTTTGTGGTTATGTTATGTTGTGATTTGCAAGGATTGTTCGTTTTAAATATAAAAAGTAACTACATCGTGTCTGCTGTAAATAAATAAAGATGGTACATTTTTAATAGGGCGTTATGAACTTTGAAAAGTGAAGTACGAATCTTGCGAGAAAGGTCCCCTGAAATATAAGGTCAGAATCCATATCAGAATTTGTTGAATGGGGATCATCATGTACCTTTCCTTGTATGCCCTAACAGAGAATATGATCGGATTGTAGGATTTTGTATATGTGTGTAAGAGAATAAATTGCAAACAGTTGTTATAGCCCCAAAAACATTTCCTTATTCCCACCAAAAAGGTTCCAATTGTTATCAAAACACAAGGGCTATTTAGGGATAACTTTTAGGAGTCAAAAAAATCAATTCAATACTACCTCCTCTTTAACTCCTAACATTGTTTAAAGAGTCTCCTAATATTTAAATGTGATTACATATTTCCTGATCGATTAAATTAAAATTTCAAATAATGTTATTTGTACTAAGGTGTATGTGTTTTCACTTCTCTTCTTGTACCTATTGACTATTTCAGATTTTGCTTAGTATATGATGATAAATATAACTAGGATAATTAGTCAAATTAAAGAAAAAATAGATAAGAAAATAAAAATCCTGTTAGTGATGGAAAAAGTAGACCTATTTCTGTTAAATTGCATCTTTCGAAAGAAGTAGGTACTAAGGTTGGAAAAAGAACTTTTTCCTACAGAATCAAAAGCTATTAATACTAAGGTATGTATTATTGCATATTTCAGGTTTAATTTTAAATTTAAATATAAAAAATAAAGGAAATAATTCCAAACTCAAATGTTACAAAGATATAAAATAAAATAAATGACACATGGCTTTGAGTTTTATTTATTTTTATAAAACATAATGTTCGTAACTGTTTAGTAATACAACCCATACCTTATTTATATTGTATTTAAATGTTATATTCTTTTTCCTCCATCCACTGAAATGTGTATATTTTGCAGAATAAAAACATCATGTTTAGTTCAAATCAGAAATATAACATAGGTTGTCATGTAAAATTATTTAGTTTTTATAGATGATAAATTCACTTATAGATAACTTAAGTCATGAGCTTGTCAGTAACTTCAAAACAAAGTCATGATATTAATCTCAGGTGTAAACATTAGATAGCATTGTAAACTTCTGTTTTTAGAATTAATAATTATGCTGTTACCTTTTCTTTGTATGAAATTATGCTTGAAATTCATAAAAATAAGAATTATTTCTGTTTGAACTATCACTTTCATGACTATAATACTAGATCATTAGACCAAATTGCTATAGACTATCTAAAAACAAAAGAAACTCCCAATATTTATTTATATCATCATTTGTAATAAAGCAACATATTCATTGTATACAAAATCGTCAACCCCGAAGTAGCTATTTATGTAATCAGTTACGAAATGTCTTATTTTGTTCAACATTTGCGGGACGCAGAGCAAGATCTAGCAAAATAAACGACCGAATCAGATGTTTTGCGGTATCAGAGACGAAAAAGAATTGGACAAGATAAGAAGTGACAATTGGGACAAAGAGGAGCGGACGAAACCTTTATTCACATTCTGACAATTGCAGCAGTCCATAACCAAAGGGAAACTATACCCACTTAACTATAGGAACATATCAAATAAAGTAGGGCAACCTACTTAACTTGTAACCACCCCAAATCCTACATTTCCTTGAGAAGATAGGATTGGGAGGGTTGTTATAAACATTGAGACTATTCTCTTCCATTAGCGACAGAAGGGGAAGGGGGGCACAATAGATCTTTTAGGTCTCAGTGTACCTATTATTACCCCTTACATCCTACATAACATATAGATGTAGCATATATAATACGTATTTGACTGAAAAGCAAGTTTATATGAATAATAGCCACATTGAAATGAATTTTAAATCGTGTTTTATTGGCGTCCTTTTACATTATGCAGATATGTGAGTGGCTTGCTACTTTTTGTTATACCTAGGATGTGAGCGATAGTAATATGTTATTTAGATAAATTTAGTATTACTTAGACATTAAAAAAATCTCACCTCAATATAGAAAATTCACTAAATTTTACACAAACGTTCTAAAAATTTGAAATAGTTTCGTTTTCGTCTCTAAATTGCAATGACCGCCATCTAGTTTAGAAATTGGACATCCCAAACAAAATGGCTGCCACCGGGATTTGACAGATTATCACAGAACACTGCAGGTTATGATATGGCAACCCTGACAGGGTCAATGATATAGATAGTTATATAGATTGATCAACCGTGTTTTTTAAAATAAACATTCCCTGAAGTAAAAATGTAGATAATTATTTTTTTTTAATATATTCAAAGGTTGGAAAATGGTATGTCGAGCGTCACGCACTGGCTAACAAACCGTAACTTTAAGCCGTTTCCATAAAATTGTAATTTACTGGTTCATTTCTTTAAAGGCTGTATGTCACGATACTAAATTAAGTACTAAATTTAGAACTAAATTAATGCATTTTTTAAGTACTAAAAAAATTCACGTTGCAAACAGCAAATTTAGTGCTAAAAAAAGTCATTAATTAAGTACTAAAAGTGCGCCGAAATGTTGCGCAGAAGTTTTTCATAGAAAAAGTTGACACGACGGTATTTTCTGTACCCTTTTATTTTTAATTAGCGACAATTTTACATTATCGCCTTGAATAAAGTTCGCTTGTTTGATTTTGTAGGTTTTATTGTGTTTTTTTCGTGGTTTTTATGCTGTATTTGGTTGTTGTCAAGTCAACTAGTGTCAAATTGATAATAAAAACACCATTTACTTGTCTGTTTTACACATAATATTTCATTTCTCTGTTAATTTTACGTATTAATACGTCAATGCGCGTGCGCCTATAGTAAATTTAGTACTAAAAATTGGTATCGTTGCAAACGGAAAAAAATATTTTTAGTTCTAAATTTAGTACTAAATTAATATCTTAATTTAGTGCTAAATTTAGTACTTAATTTAGTATCGTGACATACAGCCTTAAGAAAAATGACCAGTGTCACTATCCTGTTTTATTCGATATTTTAGTCACATACATAATACAAAGACTACAAAACGAATCATTAGGCCATTGTGTTCAACTGAATGAATATATTTTATATCCATTCTACCTATTAAAATAAAAACATTGAACGAATATCAAATCCACCAATGTAAATGCTCAGAAAATGTTCTACACCCATGGAATATGATTACACCGAATATGCGTAGATAATTCTAGAGTATTCCAGTTTCAGTTTTACTGACGTGTCAATCTTATGACGTTGGACTTGATGGTTGATCGAAAAAATGACATTTGACAGTAAACTGACGTATCTCAATATCACATTTATATCTTTTGGGAAATAAGTGAAGAAATTAGTTTGAAAATACGATTCCCAAAATACGTAGTGTCATTGCAGAATTTTCCAATAATATTCATAAACTTTATTTTAGGTAGTGTGCGTGTTCAAAAAAATTTTGGTAGGATATATTAACGTAAAAAGAAATTTAGGTTTTAGTTAAAAATAACTAGTCATTCCAATAAAACATGGCTGACGATGTTCCGGTAAATAAAGGTAATACTGAAGAAAAACCCCAAGAAGACAACAAAAGCGAGGAAAATGCTTCTTCTAATACGATTACCATACATGTTAAAACCCCCAAAGATAAGGAAACTTTTCAAGTAGATCCAGAATGTGGAGTTAAAGAAGTATGTTTGAAACGTCAATTCTAACCTCATTTTATTCATAACTCTTCTTTGGGTTTTAGTTTAAAGAATTAATACGAAAGAAGTTTCCGGTCGAACCTGATCAACTTTGCCTAATATTCGCAGGAAAGATTTTGAAGGACAATGAAAGTCTAAGACAACATAATATAAGAGATGGACTCACGATTCATTTGGTCATAAGATCTGCCAGCAGGTCAAATGCTAATACCACCGAGACTACCTCGACTCGAATACCAGGTAGGAAATGTTTTTAATATATTAGTATTGAAAATAGAAAATATTCCTTTAGGTATTCTTAATGTATTACATTGCATATGAAAACACTTGTTAAATCATTGATACCTTAAAGTCGTTCTGAATAATATGACTAGCCTCTGAATTAATAGTATAGCAAATTCAAAGAAATTACAAAAAATACATTATGATTTTATTTATAAGTCATTTTATAAAATGTCTATAGGTTATATCATCTGTACAATGCCAAAAGCACCCATATTTAGCCTAAGTACTTTACCAGACATTTTAACCTTTAAAGTTATCTATGCCAAAGTCACGAATGTGCCTTGAGAGTCCCACATCCATCTACAATGTATGTTTTTTTAGAAAGTGGGAATTTAGCAGTTGCTTAATTTCCTAAGTCTTGAAAGTACCCCATTCTCAAAATTTGCACATTTGTGGTTTTAGATTTGTACTGATGATATAGAGAGCATTATTATTAATATATTTGGTAATTTTAGTTCATTATGACCAATATTTTCTTGATTTAGTTTGACTACAATTTCAGTCAGTTTCAAGAATATTCCTCAAATATTAATTAACTCACACATATGTCAAAGTTTATAAGGGTATAAGACTTACTGAAAAAAAGTTATTCATTAACTGCAGCAAATGTTTTATTTTTTCATTTCAAAATTAGAAAGAAGTTTTCTTAAAAATGGGAACTATCAAATTGCATTAAAATTAGGAATGCTCCTGCTTTTCTTGCCAGGGTATTCCAAAGACTATTGATAAATTTTTACTAAAGAGAAGATTACTTATTTTTGCATTTTTTTGCTGTTGATTATTCTACTTTGTTTAAACGTTAATTGGATTACATGACATTATTACATTTGTATTGTCTTGCGAGCCATTTTTGATCAGTCCCAGTCATGCTCTAATCCCTTTCTACCTTATTTGGGCCTTTTAGCATTTTGAAATATCAATTTTTGGCAAATGCACTTAGTCTAAATACTAGAATGTATCGAATGTTCAAGAAACACTACATATGTATATAAATACACTAAGTTTCACAGTTTTAGTCAGTGTTTAGTTAGATATTGTGTTGATAATATACATTAGTGCTGAGCAATGATATATTAAATTGGTGTTGTATTTAGTAAAAATAAATTAGTGTCTTAGTGAATATAAATAAAGTTTAACACCTTAACTGCCCAATGGTAAACAAATTAGGGTTCCTGGGTCCCACTTTTAATTCCTACCATCTAAAAAATAAGTTAAATGATGTACCCATTTCCAATTCACTGCCACAAATATACATTTATCTACCTTATTACAACAGTTGTGACACTGGCCCCAATGTGTCCTATTTTTAGTTCTTTTGTCCTCAATGGAAAATATAATATAATATATTTCTTTTATAGAGGCATCTTCTAACCCATATACAAGTTTTGGACGCCTAGGCAGTTTAGGTAATTTTCCTGGATTAGATCAGTTAGGATTAGGATCATCTGGATTAGGAACTGGACTGGGATCAAATCTTGCCGATTTGCAATCTAGAATGCAAAATGAAATTCTCCAGAATCCTGATATGATCAGAAACATATTAGATAATCCGGTAGTTCAAAGAATAATGAATGATCCTGAGAATATGAGAGCTCTAATGACGAGAAATCCTCAAATGCAAGAGTTAATGGAAAGAAATCCAGAAATCAGCCATATGCTAAACAATCCTGAACTGCTGAGACAGACAATGGAATTGGCAAGAAATCCTTCAATGTTACAAGAATTAATGAGGACTCACGACAGGGCAATAAGTAATTTAGAATCTATACCTGGTGGTTACAATGCTTTGCAAAGAATGTATCGTGATATACAGGAACCAATGCTTTCAGCTACTGCAGATCAATTCCTTAGAAATCCATTTGCTGGTTTGGTTGATAATAGTTCTCCTAATAATCCCCAGCAAGGAAGGGAAAACACAGAGCCCTTGCCAAATCCTTGGAATCCTCAAAGAAGCAACACCAATACAAATACCTCCTCTACTCCTGCTCCCGGTGGTGTATCACCCTCAATGGCTAATTTGTTACAAAATTTGGGAAGTACTGGTGGTATTCCAGGATCTGGTACTACACCAAACCTTGAAAATATGTCACCAGTTGTAGATATGCTTCTCCAAGATCCTAGTATCATGGATTCCATTGTAGGTAGTAGTCCTATGTTCCAAGGAAATCCAGAAATGAGGGAACAAATGAGAATGATGATGCCACAGATTTTACAGCAAATGCAAAATCCAGAAATGATGAATATGATGTCAAATCCTCAAACTCTGCAGGCTATCATGCAGATTCAACAAGGTTTGGATACACTTCGACAGACTGCTCCTAATTTAATACCTTCTATGACTAATATTCCTGGATCTGTGCCATCTACTACTAGTACTACAGGAATTACTACTTCTACTACAAGTCCTACTACTGGAACAACAGGAACAACACCAACTACTACTACTACCACACCTTCTGCTCCTAATCAACAACAAGCTAATGCATTTTCAGAGGTAAGTGTCAATTAACTTCTTTCTACCATGTTCCATTTATACTGAGTTCTCAAAAATAGGTTTTTTTAATTGTGATCTATCAGTGGATCAAGATTGGGATTCAAGTTTCTTATTTACAATGAAGTATTACCTGCAAGGATCCTCTTGTGGTCCATTTCTTTTTAATCAATTTTCATTATCTTATATATTGTATTGAAAATAAAATAATTCAAAATTTTCATATTTTATATAATACACAACATTAAGATATTATTTTTATTCCTTATTTGCAATAAAGTTATTTAATAAATTGCCAGAAAATATTAAAGAATTACCCATAAACGAGTTAAAAACTATAAAACATTTTAACAATGACATGTGATGTTAGTTTTAATGTTTTGTATGTAATTTTGTTGTTTATGTACATATAAATGGCTGTAAAAGTATCTGCAGTTTTGTGGATCTTTGGTTTGCTCTTAAGACAAAATATTTTAGGGCTTTGTACATAAACAGATTTGAAAAGTCACAAATTTATGTCATGAGGTATAAAAACGATTTTTTGTCATTTTGTTCCTTTTTTTTAAATCTGTCTTAGGGACACAAAGCCCCAAAATATTTTGTTTTATGACTAGGGGTCCCTTCTGATTGCTTTTTTTAAATTTGACATTTTTTTAAAATGCTGTTACTGATCCACGTCAAAAATTTTACATTTTATGAGGTAAGTTTTGAGACAGCAGCTCCCGGTCCAATAATGTTATATTTAAAGGGGTATATAAATTACATTCATTATTTTTTTTAGCTGATGGCTCGTATGGTAGCTGGCATGGGAGGGGGCGGAGGTGGAGGAACACAAGAAACTGCGCTCCCGCCTGAACAGCGTTACCAGACACAACTCGAACAGCTAGCAGCTATGGGGTTCGTCAATCGAGAAGCAAATCTTCAGGCCTTGATCGCCACACTTGGGGATGTCAATGCAGCAGTTGAAAGACTACTTGCATTGGGACAGCTCTCTATGAGCTAACCTTTTTGAGGGAATGTTTCCATATTTTTTATGTATTCCTTTATGTTTCGTTTGATAGTTTATTATTGTTTTAAAATTATTTAATTCAGTAGACATAGATGTTGCCTTGGTTTGTACCTTTTTCTACGCAGGTCATTCCAAAATTTATCAATTAGCCTAATTAGGTCAGTTTGGTAAAATTTATTTTGTGGGTTTTGGAACTTCTTGTAAGATTTGTTATTGAGACTTTACAGGTTATGGGACTTATTCTTAATCTGGAAAACATAATTTTTAGTTAATTTAAAAAGATACTTATCAAGGCTACAGGAATATCAACATTCTGAAAAACAATGTTTTGTTTTTTGTTATCATTAGTAATGTCAAAATAATGCTAATCAAATTAAAGTTTCACATTGTCTAGTCAAGTAAAATCTATAATGCAGCAAAAATAATAATGTATAATTTTTATCTAGGAATCAGGTTTCTTATGAAATATTTAGATGAACCAACAGAAACCATGCTTATTTTTCAAGAATGTTGATTTTTTTGTTATTGTAATTCATAAGAACTTTGAATAAACAAATTTCTGGTTTTAGCATTAAATATGCACTATAAAATAGTTGACTTATTTTACAAATAATGATGAGTGTGTGGAGGTTATCAAAAATATGGGGAAATTATTTTTGTGATGACTCATACTTTTTTTCAACTTAGAGATGTTAATATTATTTAAAATATTTTTGGTAATTTAAATATAAATTTTTTTGATGACTCTCTCACAGTCACAATAAAAATCTTTTACCTCATTTCAGGAAAAGTACTAATCTTAAGTGTTTCGAAATCTTATATAAAGCCGTATATTTATATCAGTGTGTTTTTATTAAAACAGAACAATAGGACTTGTTGCATTCCATTATAATCAATGAAATCCAAATTATTAGGTGTTAAGTGTAATATAATAGATGTTTTTTTCAAATAATTTTCTTTTAAATCATGTAACAAGTCTCTTATTTATTTGATTTTGAAATAAAAAAATTTTGACTGAATGTTTCAAAATTTAAAATATATTAGTTCGCATAAAAAAGAGGACAAGTATAAAAGTTTAAATATATGCTTATTGCTACAATGTGGCGAATGTGGTGCCCCCTATAAAATAGATCTATGAAATTATGTTTCAGATCCAAAAACCACCAATTTTAAATTTCAAAAACGTTATCATGAAAAATAGATTTTAAAATTTCACCTTTTACACACTGTATTTGTCTAATTATCAATATTTTATTACCGCAATTTGGCTCAAATTGTCATATTTTGAATACTTCTATAAATTATTTAAGGTCTGGCCGTATATACACATAATTGTATTTACAGTTTTGTTTATAGTTTGAAATGGCAGGGTGTAGTAACACCAGAAATTATAAAGACCTATCAAAATACTTCTAGATATGGCATCTTCGATCCTCCTTCCCCCATTTGTCTTTTCGTCATCATTCCTTTCCTACTTTACTTATCCACTATTTTTCCTGAACCCCTTGGTGTCCTCAAAATATGTCCTAACCATTGTATTATTTGCACTAATTTCGTATATTTGTTCTCACAAAGCCCATCATTTTTTTTACTTCCAAATATTTTCTAAGGACTTTCCCATGTTTCTAGTTCTTTTGGCGATACACGTGTATTTTTAAGTTTCTCGTTATATTCTTGCTATTGAATATCTCACTAAGAGCATAAACATCTATTACAGCTTACAAGTCTAGTTTCTATCCCTTCCTCAGATCCTGTATTTCTAATCATCATTATCCCCAAATATTTGAAAGTGGATACTTCCTCAAAACTATCTTTTTCCTACATCTGTGTCCACTACGTTCTTGTTTCGATCATTCTTTTTTATGTATGTGATCTTATTGAGATACAGCCTTTTCAATGATGTATGTTCAGGATCACCTATAGGGGTTTATGTAGTGTAATCTTAATATAATAGTGCCAGATCAGTATCAGATCAGAATTATCTACAATGCGAAGATAATTAATTAACAGTCCAACCATGCAAATGTCAGCCATATCTGTTTAAAAAGTGTGAATCTAGTCGTTTGGTCGACCCCAATCGCCAGTGAGGGTGTATTGGTAAATCAGATTTTTAAATAATTTCATAGTTTTTCACTGCCCATGCAGTTCGTACTGAGTATATTTGTATCCTTGTTTATCAGTATGTAAAAGTAGAAAGTGAGAATACACACTGCCTGTGCTGAAAAACGCTATTACTATGGTAGAATTAATCGGCAAATGCACCCTGAAGCGTGTCTATCTGGCAGCACCCAAATGTGACGTTATTAAATAATAAATTTCTATAGTAATAATATAATAAAAAAATATATTAAGGGATAGTTTGACCGTTTCTATTTCAGTATAGTATTGTTTAAGTAAGTATTGTTAAATACGTCCAATGAGCCGGGCTTCAGGTGTAAAACCGTCGAGTAGTAAACTTGATTTTAATTCAATTCTGAATGGAACTGAATTTTGAAGTCGACTGAACAATAGCTTCGTTCGCGGAAATTATCCTGAACTGATTCAGAACTATACTAATTCATACTTTGAGAGCATGACCGGTTCAATATCAATTCCAGGTACAGAACCAATGGAATTAGTTTTACCGTGAACGCAGAATTAGAACAAGTTCAGTTTTACAATTTTGGAAATATGAAAATGAATAATTCCCAGTCGCCTTAAGAAACTATGAAAAATACAGCCTCATATCCCCATAGTGAAAACAAACCAAAGAAAAATGGTAAAGCTGAGAATTAAAGAAAGAAAAATGAGTGCATCGGCCAGGAATCCAATCTGGAACCTCGGATTTTAGCCTTCCATACTTTTACCAAATGAGCTATACTTTGATATCCGAATTCGTAAACTTGAAGACGATCAGATGTACACAAATTCGCATCCCATCTCAATTCCTTAAATTTTTCTTAAAGCCACCCCTGTGACATCATGTAGAAAGTACGACAATCTAATTGTACTAGTACAGTAAATCACATAACATTTTTTAAAAGTTTGTTGCAAATCACGCAAAATGATTTCAAAGAAGCCATATTTTACATGTTCAAACATGGAGCTCTAACCTTGAGCTTGTATCTTTGGCATCACAGTAAATATATACAATATCAGCAATGATGAAATACGATATCAACAATGATCTGCCATTCTCATAGACTCGCATTATTATGAATGTGTTAACTAGGTATTATTAACTTCCTAAGGATATTTAGTGAAGGCAAAAGTAGATCTTTGCACATCTACTAACCGGTAGCATTGTAATAGAAAAGGGAATAGATTTTGGGGAGAAGATTGTACACTGAGAAAAATAAACGAGCTAATAAAATTCGGATCACAGTCTTCTCGCTTTCCACCGCCGCCGGATCGATTGCAGCAAAGAATTATCATCAATAACGCATTACAAAACAAAATTGAGCTTTATACAAATAGAACGTAATATCAATTTAACTTTCTAAACTTAAAGGTCGCGGCAACGATGTTTTCCACCACTGCCACAGTGGCAGAAAACTTTCTTTTGTCAGACGCTGGAATTTTTTGATTCATTTATGATTCTTCAGTCATAAAAAATTACTGTCCAAACAAGAGTACACCCAATTATGTATTTAAGTTGACTAATTTAAACACTGAATTAAACATTCGTCTTACTTTTATTGTCACTGGACATTTAATACATTTGAATATGGTTGCTGATCAAACGGCGTCGTGCACATATGAAGGATTCAAAATCCATGCTGCCATCATCATTATTAAGGCTTACATAGTATACAGTGCAAAATAAAGATGAGACGCTTAATTATGTGTGAGATGCATAAAGAGAGTGATTGGTTTAACCACGCCCTTTCGATGACAATAATGTATTCTGTTTTTCTCCATTCAACAGGATTGTGTTTCTATATCGTTCTGCTGAAGTCAGGAGACAGAGTTAACGTATAAGATTAAGAAAGATCTAAATTTAAAAATAATAGATAAATAATGAAAGAAATATTAAAAGACCAGCTAATTTATATGTTACTAAATAGATATTTTGATCCTTGAACTGATTTAATGAGCATAAGAATGGGTTAATCCGTTTAGTATTATTAAAATCGATGTACATTCTATTTAAGGAAGAGTTTATCAAAATGTTTGTTCTAAGAATAGAGAGGTAAAATGACTGCTAATGTCTCCTATTTAGTCGTGATACATGTAAATTAAATTGTTCTAGAAGCTCTGGACAATCAATTCAATTGTTAATTAATTTAAATATATAAAAACAAACATGAAATATATGTCCTGTGATTCTCAAGAGATGAACATTGAACCGATTTAACAATATATTGTAGTTGATATCCTGCTGTTCATAGGTTTTATCTAATTACAATATGCCATGTACTTCATGAATAGATTCGATTTGATCAATGTAAATATTGTATGCAAGTGACCAATCATAAGCAACGAAATAGAAAAGTATACTCTTGTGACAAATCTTCAAATAATCAGGATCTGTAAAAAAGAAGCAAGCAATATTTTCGAACTACACCTTCCAATACAGAATCAATTTTTATATAGTCGACACCGCAGTGTGTCGAAGCGACTTGTATTCATTTATGGGCCTTTCAGTGGTAGGACGACATGGCTTCAGATCCTAGATTTGGCCTTGCATGGTTCGCATTTGATGCAGTAATTTAATTTCTATCCAGATTATAAAAAAATAGTGCGTTACCATTTCGATAATAGTGAGTTGAGTTTCTGTTTTTTCCTCACTTGAAAATCAAAATGGTACCATCAATCATCTGTAATTCGCCTCGGACGCCACAGCAAATAATAATAGTAATATGCCTCTATTCCCTACACAAGCTCAGTCGGTTTAAAGGGTTAAAAATTCATCCCTGATGGGTTGAATTATAGGAAGAGAATTATTATTATCAGGACCTCCCAGTTCTAGTAATTGAAATTTATTTAGATATTATATGGTTATTAAGAATCATGCATGGTTCAAAAAATTTCTCATAGTGTACACCTTTATGTGTATATCCAGATCAAGAAACCACTAGTTATTCTACAATTATTTCAGTCCATTCAATGTTCAAAAGTTTGAAGTAAGTTAGCTATCACAATTATGATGTAACAATCCCACGGACATCGAAAAGAAAAGGATCACTTGACTGGTTCATCTGTGATCAAAATAGATTGCATACTGTACAGGTACAGCTAAGCTTTCATTGACCAATTTTTCTAATTTTATGAGGATTTTTACACAATAAATTGGATTTTTTACAGGCAGACCACGTACCTATTTTAATGTTTAGTTCAAAAAAGCATGTAGAATTTCTTTTAAATACCTAATTTTTAATAAATAAATAAATAAATATTGACATTAAAGATAATTATTTTCACAATTCCTTTTCTTGGTACCTACATGCCAAATATTTTATTAGTATTTAATTGTGATGTTTTTCGAAATTTAAAGATAACATTTGTAAGTTGTTACAAATATTTTATATAATACATATTTATATTAACTTTATATTATTTACATAATCTTGTGTATTTAAGATGTTATTTTTAATCTAAATTTTGAACTAAATAAGGTATTTCCTAGTTATCCAAAGGATATATAAATATCAGTTCTGAACAAAACTATCAGATTGAATATTACAATTTTAAATTAAAAAATTACTGAAATAATCCCTGAAGATTTGAAAAAAAAAGCCTGTCACAAGCTAGACAAGTGCCCTTTCTTCTAGATCATCACGACATTGACTGTCGAAATTCCTAGACAGTGAACAGACAATGAACGTTAAGAGACGTAAACATATGAGTGTGAAAATTATGAGGTTATGTAAATCCCAAATCAAAATCCGAAAAGTCGTAGAAATATCTAAAATAAGTGGCTAAATAATTTGAAAATTCGGAAATAAATCCTCCTACGATTTATTAAGACCATCACGGACCCTAAAGGTAAATCCCAGACACCCATGTATTCCAGATATGTGCCGTTACCGTTAGACTAACAGCGAAATTTTCTGTGCTAGTTCTAGCCAAAAGACGTTCAGGTTCTTTATCAAATCTGCAAATACCTCCTGCGTTAAGTTTTCAATGTATGTTAAGAAAATAATGAATTTATTATCGAAAACCGAAAAATAGGTGGCTGAAATAATTTGGAAACAAATCTTAACAATCCCCAGCGACGTTATTTTTTAAATCTACACCTTTGGGGTCCGGGGATGGTTTTAATATTCATTAAAAATAATTATCTAGAAGGGATCAGCTCTATCATAACTTATGAAAAATAATTAAAAATTGATAGCTGCGTGTTATAACCCATAGAAAAATTTACGATTTCAGCATCTTAACGAAAAAAAAAAATACTATATATTGTTTTTTATAAATTTATAAACATACCTAATAAGCTTTCCTGTGTTAAACTGCACCAGTTTCTTTGTAAGATTCATATTTTCTAGCAAAGGCTTATTTTATAGTGTTATGGCCCACTGTGTCCTCTTACAGTTAATTAAAATGGTAATTATTAAAATCATTTCGTGTCTTAAATGTATAGAACATTCTAGAGACTGGAAAAGAAGCAACTTTTAAATGTTAGTGTTAGCTGTTTTTTTTGGAATGATCATTGTTTTTATACATGTTGTCTTTTCGATGTTCAAAAACACAGGTGTGTTTGAAGCTTAACGACTATGAGGCGTGTTATATATTTTAAATATTTTGAAAAATAAAAACAAATAAATCTATACAAAGAACACGATCGAGTTTTATTTCTTTCAACAACTGAATTTATTTAAAAGCTCTACAAGAGGAACATAATTATGAGCGTTTTGAATCTGGAGTTTAGGCGGATAATTTATAGACCTACCTTTTTTTTAAGCACTCAAAATCTTACATGAAAAATTAATGTAAATAAAAAACATTTATTTTAATACGTACTACTGCCGTAAACTAATAAGTATAAAAGGAGATATTGGATTTTCAGTAACAAAGACGCAGTTATTGAATAGTATAAAAATACTAGTGAGAAAACTATAACGTCTTAATAAGTTTATAAATAATCGTCCCGAAAGACACTGGCATATGAAGCATTTTCACGCAGACATCCAGAACTTCGTCTAAGAACAACATAAGTTGACGCAAAGTCGAGTATCAGTATAGGAACAAGTGTTTACTTTTGAAAACGTTAGTATTTGGCACAACAGTTGTATTCACAATTTAAAAAATATTAAAACTAGTGCATCCATTTACCAAAACAGTTTTGTAAGTATCATATAAAAGACACACACTACATACTATTTAAAATGTAAGGAGAAAATTAAATGAAAAATTCCCGGCCAACGGTGAGATTCGAACCTGGGACCCTTGGATACGCAGACAGAGAGACTCTACCACTGAGCCACCCACCCCCTAGAGGTGTTGGGATATTTTTGAATATTAAGAAATATTTTATTTTCATTAATTAAAGTGAGCAGTCCACTTGTCATCCAGGATGCAATTTTATCTCGTTTTCTTATTAATTTACGGTTCTCTGTGCATTTTATAAGACCATTTTGAATAATTTTAACAAATATGTTTGCTGCAATGCATACACAGGGGACCAATGAAATAACTCGAAAAATATTGTTGATTTTATTTGGATTCATAAATTTAATATATTTGTTAGTATTCCTATTGTGTACTTTTTTATCATTCCCTAATATGACATGCAAAATAGTGGAGTAGTGGTCTATAACGTTTGTTTTAAGTATTAGTGGAATTATATTATCTTTTGTTATTATATTTGGATTTGATAAATATGTGATCTAAATAACAAGATTTGGTGTTACCTTGGACTATTATGAAGTTTATGAACGCCACGGGTAGCGAAAGTGTTAAGAACAGTTTTTCTTATTACCTAACTATTGCGAATTGTTAAATTCTACATTTTCTAACAAAATTTGAACTTTGATGTAGGTACTGGGGTTAATTTTTTATTTTTTTACAAAAGTAGATAGTGAACGCTGGAAATAAAAAAAAAATCAATATTTTTTTTATATTTTGACAAAATCAATACAACTATTTATGGACTGGAATGTATAATCATGTATATGTATTCAAGACAGAAATATAATGTACTTTACAAAATTTGAGACAATGTCATAATATAACTATAGAGTATTTTGATTACATGAAGGTACTTAAAATGATATCAGAAATCTATTATTTAATTAATAGGCAAACAATTTTCGAAGGTCACAGCCAAACACAAATTACTTACATGAACAACTACAGAAAGACAATATTATGTACAGTTACAAATTATTGAGCTTATCTATTTTAATTAACAAAAAATGATTGGAAAATTGCAATGAGTATAAATACATCAAAAAATTGCCTACAAACGACAAGCAGGATAAAAAGTATTTAATAGACTTTAGATAAAAATGATTGAGATTCAATTTGCATAGAGAATACAAAAGTACGGACCTTTGTTTTGCTTAATAAAATTTAAAAACATAAATCTACATAATTGTAATCAACTTAATACTATAGAAAGATAAAATTTTATAAAAAATGTACATCTTCTGTTTTCTAGTCATTGAAAGATTTTCGACTAAAATATTTACAAAAAATACCAAAATAACTTCAGTAAATTACATCTAAACTGATTGTTATACATAAATATTTTGTAATACGAACTAAATAATATAAAAAATTCTTGCAATGACAGAAACACAGTTAAAAATTATTCGAGACGCATGTAAATTACTTCTAAAAAGTTTAGCCTCCTGACAAATACAACTAATCGGACATATTTCGTTTTACTAAAATATACTTAAAAAATAATGTACATGGGGTCAAAATTTTGAGGTAATATTTTCATTTTACCTAGTGATATTTTACTGCAAAAGCTCGATATTTTATCACATTTATTTTTTAGTTCAAACACCACTTTGTTGAATTTTTTTGTATACAACAGTATCAAAATATATGAATTCTTTAATGTTTCCAAGAAGTAGCACGAAAACAATTTCATACGTTTCAAATTTTATACTGATCAAAGTAAGTTCGGATAAAGATTTTGTCTAATTTTTTTAACGTTGCAATTTTGTATTATTTGATAATAGGCATTTCAACAAGTTTTTAACATATTCGATTACTAATCATTAACGTCTAATGCAAGTTTATTATTTCACCAATATTCTCAAAAATAAACCAGTGAGAATCAATAAGGAAAAACACTTTTCTAGACAAATAAATTTTAGTTCTAGCACGACAAGTCAAATAAGGAACAAGTGGAATGATTAGTTTGATGAAAACCTTTCTTTGGTCTATTCTTCTTAATGATAGAAAAAAAACCGAGCTCCCACAGAATCGCCCAATTAACTAAAGAATTGTACAATTACAACAAATTCCTACACTAGATGTTTTATGGAGCAACTAACCTGTTTAATTTGTCCAGAAAGATGCTAATATGAAGATAAAAGAAGGAATTACTAGGGGTCCTATTTAACAAAGATTAATGAATTTTTTGAAATCAACACAAGCGAATCTAATAATTAGTACACAGCTTTTCTTTACGAAATTATTATCTTCTGATAACTGTAAGAATTACATACGTTAAATCCCAGAACAAAGTGTGTAAAATATTGTTCAAAAAATGATAATGCCTGCAATCATACATCAAATTTGAAACGTTCAAAAGACTAAATCAATATATCCGGCAGTTCTTATTGGCGCGCATTTGCCTCCAACTTATGCTGCGTTTGAAAAGTACCTAGTTTTGCTTTTTTTACTCGATACCGCCCTTTTTGTTCCGTTTGCTCCATTGATATGGTTTGCTCGATGTCACGTGACCAAAAAATCTACTCGCTCTGCTCGATGAGGTACATTTCAAACGTAGCAATAATCAGCACAAAGAAGTAGAATATCATAACGGTGTTTGAGCCTAAACCATCCACTTAATTGTTTAATAATTATTTAGCTGCTAGTCATTTAACAATTATTACCTTAAATCATCGTTATCGGGGTTTGCAAATAAAAACTATAAGTTAAAAACAAGATTTTCGAATTACCTACGAACTTAAAATTATCTGTACATTGAGCTCGAAAATATTTCGAAAGATGCGCAAAAAATTCTATAGACTTCGTTTATTTTATAAAAAGATGCTACCTTTTTAATTTGTAGTATGTAACTTCAACTACTTTGATTAGTAAGCGAATAAAAAGTGTATTTTAATAAAAATACTTTTATTCAAATTGAATACTATCATTTAAGTTGAATACTTTACTATTAATACTCTTTTTAATACAAAATTCAATAAACGAATACAAATTATTTCTATTTGTATTCGAATGTTTTTATTGGTATTCAAATATTCATTTTGGTAGTAAAATAATGTTAATACTACATTTTGTTATGAAATAATCGAAGTCAATAATTAAAACATGGATTGATTCTTTGCAGATACCAAAGAAATATGCAGTCTATCAATATTATAGCAGGTACAAGAAAAACGAACCATTATTAGCAAAAGAATGAATGATTGTGGTAAATAAAGGTACCTAATGATTGGTACTCATGTAATGTTTTTGCACAAATTAAAGCAGGATTTTTACAATCATATATATGTTTTTTTTATTTTCTGCAGAGTTCCTTCATTAGTTATGTTTAAGTTTTTTAAAGAACCTAGATTATCCTTCTTCGGCGGGAGGGAGTCCGTTGAGACGTTTAAGACGTCTAGGTTAACCGTCTTCGTCCTCGGTGCTAAAAAACTAGTCTGATTTACTGTTAATCTGAAAAAAAAAATATTTTAGGTAATTTTTGATGAAAATGTATAACAGCAAAAAAACTAGTACATAAAAATATAAAAGGGGATGAAAATGCAAAAAATCGTTCACCTATTAACAGAAAATATCACAAAATCCCACAAGTTTGATTATGAAAGTCAAGTATCGTTGTATATTGTATGGTATAAAGTGAATTCAATTGAGTTAACTGAGATGCTCTCAGATAGAAGGCAAGATAGCTTCAAGTAGAACAAACTTGTTTATAGTCATTATTTTATATGTGACAGTCGTGATTTGTTGTGTATTTTTGAACAGGAAAAAGTTATTTTGTAGATAAGTTTTGTGCTAGTTACTTCTGTTGAATCATATATTGAATATTTAAAAGTTTTCTTATCATATCCATCCTGTTCAGTCATAAGTTATGAACACGGTAGTGTACAGTGAAGCACAACCTTCAAAAGGTTTGATGGCGAGTGTATGCAAAGGAGAAGTGCTGAAAGGCAAGAAGACGACAATGAATGTATATTAATTATTAATCGAAGTAATAAAAACCAGTGTAAAACAAGGTAGTGTTTTATTCCCTGTTCCACGAGTATAGATCCCTACTAGTTATATTTGTATTGTCTCATTTAGTTATTCAAGATCGCTTTCCAGAGCAAGTGGGTGTCTGGGATCCTTTTTTAGTCTGGATACGTGCTAAATTTTGTTTTAAAGTGGTGTTGTATTTGTCCCAGTTTGTTTTTCTAAAATTCTTTCTGAGGATTGTCTCAGAAGTGTCCCTCTCTAACTTAAACACAATAATCTTGTGATCCGATAGAGATGGTTCATTCGATACTCTCCAGTTTGTAACTAGAATTTTAATGCTCAATGTACCTAATCTGATATTTAATACCGAATACAAATATGGGGAGACTCCCAAAGTTGTATATACAATAAGGTTTGTATTAAAAATATATTTTAGAAGTTGCTCACCTCTTTGATTGGTGTCGATTGGCAGATTTCTTCTCTGGAAGTACTCCACTAGCTTCGGTACTTCCGGAGGTGGTGCAAACCCATCTCCAGCAAAGTAACTAGAAGCTATTACTATGATTTACCGCCTCATCCCAAATTCTAGGTATACTCGAATTGGGACGAGAACACGGAGTCATGAATTCTGAAAGATAATAATATTTAATATTATTTCTTATCATAATGCATGCATGTTCTGGATACTTCATCACTAGTGTGATAAATTACCCTTGCATCTTTCATGCAAGTCACTTACCTGGTTTCCGTAGGCCCACGGTTCCTGGATCAGTACAATCCCTAATTGGTTATTAGTGAATTTTCTGGAAATCACAGCCGAAATACTGGTATCCTCTGGCAGGATAGATCATCTATTCCTACCCTGAGGATTTAGCCTTTGCCCCCGTCTTTCCTACTGACGATCTTTCACAGCGTGATCGATAGCCCCACAACTGCAGAAGCTTCTCTACAATCTGTCCTTGACTTTTGGGGAGAAAGATTTAGCAGTATGTACTTTTAGAATGTCGTTTCCCGCACATATTTCCAACTCAACTCCTTTCCAGTTGCTCAATTGTGAGATTTTAACCCTGAGCCATTTTGCTGACTGTGGAGTTTCACAGTAGTTTTAGTACCCGAGGGGTGAATCACTACCGAAATACTGGTACGTTTTTCCTCGAAATCATTACAAATTTTCCTGAAATTTCCGATATCATCATGGCAGAAATCGTCACTGAATTCACTTCGAAATAAATTCGTCGCTCAAAAATATAAATGCATCAGCTTGTGGATCAAAAGACAAGGGAAGAGCCAAAAAGAAAAGGTCATCGTATAAAATGAAGGAGGTTTTTGGCGAAATTGGCGAAATTACCGAAATCATATAAAATCAATTTTAAATGATTTCCGAGATATAAGTACGTTTTGTCCTTAGTGGTTTCCCTCCCTGGTATCATACCTGGCAGGATGTGAATGACTCCGAATTGAAGCTGGTACTCAGGGAACCTCTTAGGAGGATCGCAACCCGCTCTATCTTGACAACAGTTGCATAACTGCCGGAAGCGGAAGTAATGGCCATTTTTTGTCCGTTATTTGCGCTGGTATAGTATTGCTTCCTTCCAGCTTTTCTCAGTGGGTTATCCTTTTCACTAGGTTCTCTTAATCGTGGTGGCAAGTAGTTTTCTTTTATGCTTACTGATAAGTTGTGAAAGGAGGGTGAAAAAGATGAAGCGGTGATGCTCTTCTCTGCTTCCTTCACCCCTTTCTTTGGTTCTCTCATTTTTCTCTTGTGAGGTTGTCTCACTTGAGACGTTGAGGCAGTTTGATCGCTTAGGATGGGTAGGCTTGTTTTTTTTGTAAATGATACAATTTTTCACCTTCACACTTGCTTTTTTTTAGACTTTAATTATCAAAATTGTAAAAAAATACACCCAATTTGTATTCACATGTTTAAATAAATTTAGAAATGAACACATTGCATTCGAGGTGTTATCTGATGTAATAATACTCAGTTAGGTCTTCTTTTTTACAATTTTGAACATTACAATCAAAAACAGAGCTAATATTAACAAAAATGAATATTGGGGGTGATGTAACAAGGGGTTGATTTTAATTTATTCTGTAAAATACTTTTTCATTTCATATACACTATAACCATATGTTATGTTTAAAAATGATTCTTACCAAATAACGTATTAGTTGACAAATTTATATGCCCTTAGTTTTTTATATTTTGTTTATATCCAGTACGATTTGACACATTTTTATTAATTGAATATAAATTTTATAGTTTATTTATTTGTTTATGTTTTTCATTAATAATTGCTAAAACTTGATAGAAAAACAGAGCATGGATGATTACATTCCGGAGGTACCAATTTTTTCTTTCTTTCTCAACTTATTCAATTTTTTTTCAGTATATTTTCACTTTGGGGATATGGGGGTGTATTTTTCTTAATTTCGTAGGGGAAGTGGGGTTTATTCATTTTCATATTTTCAAAATTGATGCCAAAATGCATTGCGGAATAGCTCAAAAATGGTTATAGAGTAAAACTTCAAATGTTTGGCTTAAAACCAGTTATACTACCGATCGGTTATATACAGAGTGAGCAGTTTTAAAAAAGTAGGCTAATTTCGACAAAAATTGGTAGATATCTGTGTATTTTAGAAGTCAATGATAATAGACCCTAAATAAATGTTTAAAAATTCAAAATGCTATTGTTTTTTTATAATTTGAGTTGTTTGACTGCGGGAACGGAGCACATTCGCCAAACCACACGAAATGGTGTTGAAAGGAATCATATTTAATCAAAAAAAGGTCTCCCTTGAATGGAAATAATAAAAAGCGTCCTTTTGGTTAGTGTAACTGGACTATTTAAATTATTATCATTCAATAACGGCAAACGTGATGAAGAACACCGGACGAAAGCGAAGTGAGAGTTCAGGTGGGATCAAGAGGAAGATCAATGGTTTTCATTTTAAATTTTTAAAAATGTATGTACTGGCAAGATCTTTTTTTAGAAGCTCTTCTGTTTTTCAGCTCTTTTGTTTTAATAAATACATCTTTTTGATCATGCTTTTAATTTTTTGTGTATTATAAAAACAATTAAGTTAAGATTGGTTCACATAACTCATTTTTTGCTTTATTGACACGAATATAATTCAAAAACCTATTTTTATATTCACATGTACCTATTTATTAAAAACTTTTTGAAACCATGCAAATAAAACTTTTAGTATTTAGTATTATCAAAAAGGTAAAAACTTTGTACTCACCTATCTAAATGGTTGTGCTGTTCAATAAACGTCGGAGAAGGGAATTGCGAATGCACGTGAAATCGCCGGGAGACTAGATAACCACAAAGAAATCCCACAAATAGGCCCGCCAAACTGGCTACCGCCACGATGATATGCAGGTACTCTGATGTGTAAAGTGTAAGTTTGCTTTGCGAAGCACAACCTTTTACTTTTTCACCGTCCACCTCATTACAGTCAGTAGATTCGGTGTCTAAGTTCAATAGGGGGTCAATTAAATCCTTATCGGTATCTAAAGAATTCTTATCAATGGGGATTGTGTTGTCTTCTTTGGTTGTAATTGTATTATCTGTAAAATTAGTAAAATTTTAATTTAATTTAAAATATTCTCCACCAACTTTTGTTCATTGCAAATAATTCTATCAGTAAATATTGAACGCTGCGTTAGAAATGTTAAAGTAATTCTAGATAGAAACTGATAGAAGCAACTCCTCTTCCAAAAATATATAACTTTAAAAAACAAATATTGAGAAAATCCTATGCTGAAACTGAAAAGTGGACACAGTCTTACTAAACACGATCATTTTAAAAAAGAAACAGAATTTTCAAAGGAAGATAAAACAGCCATACTGTATGGGGAGATATCTTAAATCTTTAAGTTAACCACATACACTTATGTGGAAGGCGATGAGATCATCCCACTCATTTTCAATCTAACCTACACTTATTATGTACAATGTCGGCCACTGAACGTTTTCCAATACGCTTTGCACAAGTACATGTGAAAACTACATTAGGGTGAACAGGAAACGAATATATACGTTGCCAGTTTATACAGCCCGACCGCGTTGTAATGTTGGCCGGGCACTTGTGCAAAGTGTATTGGAAAACGTTCGATAGCTGCTACTGTATAATGTATTTTTTTAAATATCCTATATTTCATGTGTAGTATTTTAATATTGTTATAATCAATTGTTAACTGGATATAAAAATTTTTAAAATTAATTTTTAATTTCTTGTAAGGAAAATATAGAAATATTTTTTTCTAATTCGAGGTTTAGACAGATTTTTACGTTTTGGGGGGTACCCTAAATTCATTTTGATCATTTTCACGATGATGTCTTATACTCTACTAAGGTATATTTCTGTTATAACAAGAATTGCTTGTGATATCATTTTTGTCATATACATAATTTCTATAAAATGGACCGTAATTGACAAATTTGAGAAAAAGTACAAAATTTTAATTTTATGAAGATATGAAAATGTTTCGAATAAAATTAATGAAATTTTTTATCTTTAATTTATATTCTAAATAGTTTTGGTAACAGTAATGTCATATTTTTTTGTTCACTTACCTGATGGTTGAATTCTGCATCTCACAGCACTGCCGTTTCTGATATCCTGAATTAAATATCTAAAAGATGTCGCAGTGTCTACGCTCACGCAGGTCCCTTTTATCGAATCCCAAGCGCAGTGGGGATCACGTAGCTCCAAGCAATCACTAAAAAAATCAATAAATAATATGTAGTTGAGTCAGTATAGAATGTTAAGAAAGTGTGAAGAATGCTGACAGAGTTGCCATATGCAATATGCAGATAAGCTCACTATTTTACCGATCATAGGAAATACTACCTTTCTACCTGTACACCACTGACTAACGAAACATTTTGTTGTTTGTATTTGGTATGAGAGATTCGAAGAAATATGCTTATGATCGGTAAAACAGTGATCATATCTGTATAACAGTCATTGAAAAATTACCTCTTGCTGCAAAATTTACCAATAAGTCACTAATTTAAAGAACCCCACCCAAATTTCGGAAAAGTTTGTGTTTTAACAACATTTTCTATTTTTTAGTCTTTGTATTTTCTGATCTTCTTACCTGCATCGACTGTAGTGCTCACAGTGGTTTATAGTGACCAACTTCACTTCTGCTTTACTAACAGCAATTACTCTTCCATAACGAGGAGCTATTCTAAGTTGTTTTACAGGTGTTTTCCTGGAAAATATTTCATTTTCTGAAATCACAACTGCCTGTGGTGGTCCTGTCGAACTGGGGATGTTCACTACTTTAAGTATCTTTCCATCATCTGCAATTATTAATAGATAGAGTATAAAAAACTGGTTTTGCAAGTATAAATTTAATAGAACTGGTTATTTAAATAGATGCAAAATGTGCTGATAAACGATAAAATTTATGGATTATACAAATCATTTGCATTAAAATTCATGAAATTGCCAAAAAAAAATTGAGTACCATTAACTTATATGGGAGACATCTGCCTACTACCACAGTAGTTAACTTTTAATTCCTATTTTTGATAAATTATATCTGATAACATTGATTTATTCTAATTGATTAATCTCAACCCATTTGGAAATGTTTGTGTATTTTAAACTACATATTTAAAGACTCGTAAATTTAGAACAAGAATTATTATATAACTAAATTATAGAAGACATAATACTAAAAATGAGGGACTATTAAAAGACCACTTCGAACATCAACAAAAAAATCTTCAAGAGTTTTCTAAATCTGAGTAAGAGATATTTATGAGACCAATCAGATTCACAGGACTTATGAGGGATAAGTTACAGTGAAAGAGAAGAAGAAAGATTTCTTAATTTACAAAGAAACTGTTCAAGCAAGATATACACCGATGACAGACAAGTTTAAAAGATTATTTACACATCTTACTAATACATATTTTTAACAAAAGATATACATTGCATATTTGAATGTAATTTTCAATTCTATATAAGCTTTTGTTTTTATCAAAAATAAAGGTAAAATTTATATTATGACATACCTCGTATATGACTTATCAATACTGATATTTGGTGATTTCGTTTTGATTTTAGATTATGCAGAACTTTTTATAAATAGTCATTTTTTTCGCAAAAATTTTTCCATATACATTTTTATTAATTTTTACTAACCTGTTCCAACATAAATGACATCGTATGTTTCATCGTTGACAGTCCTGACTTGCGGATCAACTGTAACCGCTGTAAACCTATAATGTAAACTGATTCTAATAAGCAGCGGTTGTCCAAAGAGAGGTGGGACAGCCTTTTCCATCATCGGATGTGTCTTTATGAAGTTAACATTTTTATCAGCTAAAACTCTACTGTCTTGAACACATTCTCCTGGTCGAGGAGACGGTACTTTATTATCGGGAACGGGCAACCAATTGGCGTTAATGCTATCTTGATGCTTAAACGGACCTTGAAAGACGCTTTGGACGTCTTCCATGTCGAAAATGCATATAGCAGAGCCTCCTATCGCATTATCCGGGGTTGTAAGCGCACTGTAGATGATTTTGGCATTTTTATTTCCACCATAGTTACCCTCAATCACACTAGTAGTCGATTCTAAAACATACGCAGTCGTAAATATTTACTATTATATATTTTATAAACTTTAACTTACGAATCTCATCAAAATAAAATGGATAATCTCCAGGTACGGAGCAATTCAGTCTTGCTTTTAAAAATGTGGTCCAACGGTCACGTGACTGATGTGGTCCTCCTTTGTCATGCTTACATACTCTCGCCACTCTCGAATATATCACTTTGCCGCAGTTCATGTACTCAACAGCAGTTTCACGGAAAAAGAAGTAGATGTAGTCCCCGTACGTCAGAGTACTAACAAAATTTGGAGCTGAAATAAAAAAAAATGGTTAAAAATTTTCATAATTTATATACAAGAATAAATAATAATTACCATTAAGCTGCCTGAGATCAGAAAGTTCTGTGCGTAGAGGTTCCCTGTATATCAGTGGATCTGTTCCTGAAAAGTCAGCTACAGTAGCTGAAAACAGGTGACCATTGCTATATATCGAGGTACTATTATGGTCCGGATCGTAAGGACATAAACCTATTCCTTCCATTTCTTTTTCGATGATAATTTGTCCATTCTGAAAATGAAAGCAAATAATATAAGTTTTAAATAGCATATTGTCTTCCAGTTGTAGTATTTTGCGTCAAAATGAGGTGTAAATATATTCCAGAGAGTTCCAAAGTAGATGTATATACATCTTGCTAAGCAGAGTAGATATTCTTGCAAGAATTGTCTTTTCTATTCAAGGGATATTGTTTAAAGAAAACTCAGTCAGTAGTAAAGCTAAATATAAATAGCAACCAGATGGTATCAGGGCTCCTGATAAGTTTCGTAAGGCGTAAGTGCTGCGATTGACAGGGTTGAAGCTACCTACCATTTCGCAAGTCGAGGCAGAGACCGACTTCAAAACGCGCCGCGACAGCAAGGGAGACACTAAACGGTCTCTTCACGTCTGAACACATGTAATTATATGAAACACATTTCGGTAGACGCGACAGACGACATCATATTTAGTATGGCAATTGGCGCGTTTTATTGCTCAATCTTTTGCCACCGGTGTGGAAAGTCTGAACAGAATGAACGTTTTATTGTATCGATTGATTCATTCCGCTCAAACTTCTCATTCGGTGAATTTTGATCGAATGAAGGGAATGAAAAAAGTGGGGGGTATTGGTATATCAAACTTATGTGCCAAACATACTTTATTAGTAAGGTTATGAGTTATAATACTTATAATTTTTAATTATTTTTATCATCGTAAAATTCGAAAATCGGATTGGATCGTTGACTCTGATACAGGTTGTAAAAAATGGAAGAAATTGTACAGGATGAAAGTGGACAATATTTCTGGTTCAACAAAGACAGCATATTTTATTTATTGTTTACATGTATGTAACAAATTGAGATTTTGCTATAACATCATTGGTCATACTAGAAGTAAATATTTTGAATTATTAAAAATAATTTTATACTTCATACTTCTCGATAATTAATCTAATAATGTCAACTGGAATTCTTGGTGCAGCTAATAGCAAATGATTATTAAGTTGCAATACTTCCAAATATCTGTAATAATATTTCCATTTTTAAATTAATATTAACTATTTCTATGGGCGGGATAATGGATAAATCAAAGGATGATTTTAAATTTGACATTCTTGACAGATGACAATTTTATCGTTTTATTGCGTTTGCAAATTCTGTTCAAACTTTTTCTACTAGAGAATGGATGAATAAAACGCACCTATTATTTGCCGCTTTACAGGTGTCTCGGTCTCCTCTCCTGTCATTTGTCGCGCGTTCCCAAATGGTACTTTGACGTTCACTTATTTTATTGCATACCTGTATAAACATTCATATAATTATAAAAATATCCAATCTTAAATAAAATAAATGTATAAAAAATCTTATTTAGGATTTATCAATGTGTTATTGCGTACCAAAGACAGGATAAATAAATAATGATGTCCAAAAAATGTCAGATGTCAGAAGCAGAACCAGTGATTAAAATATTTGCTATTTTATAGAAACTTACATAACTATGTCGTATTAATAAATACTGATTTATTTCTTATAAGCATTAGGTACCTAATACATAAATTAAAAAAAAATAATGAAATGCAATATCGAATGAAATCAACCTCCATATTGAAAAATTGATTTGAAATATATAATTAGGCAATGGTAGCAGTTTTTAATTAAAATATTTTAGTGTTGGTGTTTGGAAGGTCGTATATCCTAATATTTTTTAGAAATTTCGCTCCTTTATTAACTTTCCGGTGCGCTACTGCAGAAATAGTGGAAAGAAATTAAAAATATTCGTCAAGCAATGATGATAAAGCATCTAGGTCCTATAAGATTGTTTAATTAATAAAATTATAATCTAGTCTCAAAGACCCTTTAATTTCATCTCAACGTTTTTATATTTAGTTAAGTATGAGTAATTTTCTGACGTATCAGAGATTGTAAATCTTATTCTGCTCACCCAGACATTCTGGCTGCAACATACTATACCAAATAGAAACCCGAAGAAGTATCAAAGAGAGCTAGCTCGTTGTATTTCTAATTTAGTAATATATTTTGCCTAATAAGGTAAGTCTTGCTATTAAAGGTATTATACGTATTCAGTAGATCAACAACTAGACAAACAATGTTTACTATTTGAAATAGAATGAAACCAGTTTTCTAATCTAACAGTTGAGGAACTGGGGACAAGAAAAATTAAAATAATTGGATTTTGCTGTGAAATTTAAATGTTTTTTGTCAAATTTTGTTAAAAATTTTATTCGGAAAACTATTTAAAAAAAAAATATTCAACAGAGAACAAAAAGCAAAACTTATCGAATTTTACTTCCGTAAATTATTTTGGAAAGCATAACAGAAAACAACTCATAAATGTTGCTTGAAACTTCAAACTTTATGGTTAACAAATTTTACTAGCCTCAGTAGCGTAGCCAAACATTTTTCAGGGGAGGGGTTTCTGGATTATAGGGGGGGTTAACAAACAGTTAATAGCGATCAGCGCAAATAAGATAGCGGAAACGGTGTCGTGAAGGCCTTCATGGGGTTCTGACCCCCCGTGGCTACGCCACTGACTAGTCTATTTTCATTTTTACTTTGAAAAAACAGGATAACATTTAGATCGTTATAATATAATGAATGTATTATTAAAAAAATTTAATGAGAGAATATTTAGTACGCAATTTTTTTCTGTATACCCATTTGGTACAACTTGCTAATTTGGTACTACGTAAACGACTGCAGCTCGGCGTGAGTCATTCCAAGAAATAAAAAAGGGTAGATTGAAAAATAACGTGATTAATAAACAATATATAAACAAGCCGTGGGTGCTGAATGTTCAATCTGAGAGCCGACTCGGCCTCCTACTTACTTTTTAGCTAAATAAATGTAGGCTGGTACACAAATAATCGGTTCATTTCTAATAGGTCAGACATTGTTAACTTTAAGAATTGCGACCAAAGACATTGGCGAGTTTCGTCACCTAGAGTTTAATCTTGAAAAAATAACGTTCGTTTTTTTAAAGCTATTATAGATTAACTATAAATCACTTTCTCTTTTACCCTTTTACCTCTAAGAGACTCGCTTAGAGGTCAAGTAACCTTTTTTTCACTTGCGGGCATCTATTTTGCATTCTAAGTACTAAATAAGAGGACAATAATAAATAATTATTATTATTATTAAAAAGTATTAAGAGCAAACATGGCGGGCGCTCTTCCGCCAAAAATTAATTTTTCATTTGAGGCAGTTAAAAAAAATGTAAAAAAAATGGTTCAGGCCAATCGTTCTAAAAATGAACCAAGAATGACGCTAAATCGCGAAAAACTTATATTTTTAAAGAAAAACAACAAAAATTTCAACTTTTTAACAATAATTTTTTGGCTCTTTAGCGTCATTCTATAACAAATATCTTAACTATTTTCTAAATAACTTTTTTTTTAAAGATAACCATTTTTAAACAGGACAGAAGATTGACATAGTTTTCATTCCGATACTAATTCTATTAAAACAATGATACCAGTGAATATGGCAACGCTGCTAGTCTATGAAACCCGTGGTTAAAAGGGTAGCTGCTGTTTAGTTAAATTTGTTAATTCCTGTGTCGAAAAATAGGTAATTGTTTTTGAAGAGGTGCGAAATTATTGTGATCGTCTTAGTTTGTTGTTGAGGCGTTGTTAGGTTTTTGTTTAATTTAGTTTTTAGTTAATTTATGAAATGAAAAATTCTGGAAGGCAAAAATGCTACCACAGCTGACAAATTTCTATTTTAATTGTTTGCTGCCAGAGTTAGTAAATCCTAGAGAAATACGACATGTGCCAATTAGGGAGAAGAGATTGTCAAGAATTTTGCCCGCTTAAAAAAATGTGTAATATACAGAGTGTTTCTAAATACATACGACAAAATTCAGGAGGTGATTGCTCGTATGAAATTAAAATGGGTCTTTTCTATAACAAAATTTCCTCAGCCCATCCCTTTTCGAAATATCCCCCTTAAAAGGTGGTGACTAAAATTGAGTTTTTATTTTGTTTCTAAAATTTCAGTAAAGCTAGAAACATGAAATTCTGTAATCGCAAAGGACTAACCACGGGTATTTTTTCAATATTCCTGTTACATTATAGGGGGGTGGAATTAGCAAAACTTTTTTTCGAGGTGAACTTTTATGAAATAAAATTATAACTTGAAATCCTTGTTTTATTTATTTTTTTTATTCTTGAATTTTTTTCCCAAAACCAATAGCTTCAGAGAAAAAAAAATAAACACCCTAATTTATAATTTTTTTTAACAAATTGAGTGGAAAACAGTATTTTTTTTCTATGAAGCTATTGGTTTTGGGAAAAAAATTTAAAAATAATTTTTTTTTTTAAATAAAACAAGGATTTCAAGTTACAAAATTATTATCTCGAAAAAAGTTTTGATATGAAATAAAGTAAGGGCTGCTAATTTCACCCTCCTATAATGTAACAGGAATATTGAAAAAATAACCGTGGTTAGTCCTTTGCGAGTGCACAAAAATGACAGCATTTCAAGTTTCTAGTTTTACTGAAATTTTAGAAAAAAAAAATAGAAACTCAATTTTAGTCACCACCTCTTAAGGGTGATATCTCGGAAAACATGCGAGTTTAAACTATCGATGTTTACTTAAAACAATCGATAGTTTTCGATAGTATCAAACTATCGATAATATCGATAGTGCTATCGATAGTATGGGACCACTAGTTACATATAAGTCGTTTGATCTTAAATAATACTTCCTGTCAAAATTTCAAAACAATCGTTAATTATGATTTAAAATATCAATAAAACCCTCGAATATGAGTTTTTTTAAAGTAAATAAACCCATTTAAGTGTGTCAACTATCAACTTTACACAAGACGTAAACACTCACTTGCGAGATGTGGAACTGTGAGAAACATTCTTTAAAAATTCGAAGAAGCTGTTGACAGCCATTTGAGAGATGACTGAAGTGTTTTGGCAAACAAAAATAATCTGCAATGCATGGTTCTTGGTCACGGTTCAGGATTAGTATCTAAATGTTTCAGTGTTGCGGTCAATAAATTATTTTCGATGGAACAGGAGCCTTTTTTCAGTCTAAACAAAAGTTGCTGGGATAATTTTAACCCTATTTATTTTAATTCTATTTTTATAAAGAACGAAAACATTTTGGAGTGATGCTACAGCAAAGTCATATTTCATTAAGAATGTTAAATCACTTACAAAATAATTTGAATATTAATTATAAAATATGGATCAACAATACATTCAGAACCATTTTCATTGCCTAGCAAGACGAATTAAGGTCGCAATTGAGGCTCTATGATTTAGAAACGTTTGTATTAAACATTTTTAGAGAAAAGAGCATTTTGTTGAACTCATGATTTATCCTGAATATTTTCCACATTAACACTGATAAAGCTTGTACCTACACTAACAAATATTTAATATTTCAAGCATGTTCAAATTTATTGATTTAAATTGAATATTTTTTTAATTTTGCACCCAATGCGATATTTTTTGTGTAGAAGTCAAATTGTTACAAAAATCTTACATGTCTTGGTCTTTTTTAATCTGAAGTCTACAATTATGTTCCAAACACTAACGAAAATTATAAATTGGTTAAAAATATAAGTAAGAGATCTAATTTGGAATATAAACAAGTTTTATGATTCTATAATACCTTTACCAAATATGTTGGTTAAATAGAGTTATAATTTTCTCATTAGTAATACAATTTCCAAAGAAAAAAACCTCATTGAAATTTTATAATTAAGTAGCAATTGTAAATGTCACCTGTCATTCATATCTATTGCTACAAATTGGGTAGAAAGTTATTCAAAGCTGACTCATGAATTCTTTTCTTATAGTTACTTAATCATTTTATATTTAAACGTTTCCAACGGAACACTATAATATCTTTTTTGATTTTAATTTCGAACATAAAGGACCCGTCACTAAAGGGATATCATATCTGACAGCGCATAGAAAGTTGTTACATAATTTTTCTTCGCGGTGAAGACTTTAATGTTTCTTATACTTGATTTACTATTTATCAATAACGCCTTCAACATTAAATTTTAAATATTAAAATTGTCAACCTTTGATTTGGCATTAAATAAACATCAATTCAATTTTCTACAAAATTTAAAATCGTCGACCTCTTGTAAAATGTGTTAATTTGCCATGCGAGTCAAACTCGTTTTCATATAAAATTTGATCGAAAAACGAAAGAGAACAAATAACAATTTAGAGGTCAAATTTGTAATTATTTTCATTGTTAAATTTATGTTCTCACGTTGTTTGTTTACCTTCTTAAACAACCATATATTTTTAATTTAATGTGAACTTTACAAAATATAATAATTTTAATTAAACTAGATCTGCTTTTTTTCGAGAGCAACGTATTTTATATAACAAATGGCTATATATGGACCGGTGTGAACTTAGCGACCAATTTTTAGCGACTAAATTTCCGAAAATTGCCGAATTGTCAGTGCCGTCGTAATTATTTGCAAATAAAATAATTAATTTAACAATATACCACTTTATTATTTTAAACTTGGTAGGTACAAATACCACTTTAACCTATCCTAAAGAGAACGATGAATCAAATATCAAATATTTATATCATTAATTAGTTATAAATAAAAAAGTAGAAAAGATAAGAATGTTTCAAAAATAAAATGTAATGAAAATCATTTTTATAAAAGTTATTAAATAAAATAGAGACCAAAATCGTGATATTTTAAAATTGAACTAAAACCGTGCCATTTACAACGAAGATGAGTACGCAGCGACTGTTGTTAATATTCCTTTTTAATGTCAGCAGCGATTGTGAGGTAAAAGATTTTTTTTTCAATCGGACTCATCACGAAAAGATTGTTTTGTATAGTCTATAGGTAAGGTTCTTGACCTCTTTTAAGTTTTATATGTTATCTGCGCAACATTTTATCGCCACAGGTGGTAAAACACTCTCCTTTTTAATTGAAAAAAAAAAAAAACAATTACATAAACTTCAATTGCTTTAAATTGTCCAGTGTGTTATGTCATTATCCAACAAGCAAGTTCCGTCAATTTTCAGATTAACTATTTCTAGAAATAGTTGTGTCATGAGTAAAATTCAAAATTATCACAGGGGAAAGTACCTATATAACTCTATCTTTTTTAACAGAATTGAATTACAAACATTTAAAGTTTTTCAAATATCGATATTAAAAAAGTTTGTAGTCCCTATACCATGCCACCAATAAAAATTTAAACCCTAAATTGTACCCTTTCACCCTCTCTTTCTAATTTTTATAAGAAATTTATTAATTAAACACTAAAAAGTACCCATTCTATAGAGTAAATTAAAAAAATTCGGATAATCGAATATTTCCTGAGAAAAATTGATCAAAAGTTGCAAAATGTTGATGATCTTAACCTAATATTTTATCTTTTCTTTCAGTTTTGCCAATTAAGCATTTCAACGACCTGTCAAAATGCTGACAAGTGAAAACTGACAGTTTAGATATGGCAAACCTGTGAGCTGCTGTCATTGACAGTGTCAATGATACATATATAGTTGTATAGAGTGCTCAAAGCAGATCGTTTTGCGAGCGGCCATATTGCCCCACAAATGCTCATTAATCAGCATCAGTTTAGCAAAAATGTGTTTTAAATACCAATATTCAGCCTTTGAATATAGTAAAAAATAATTAACTTTTTTATTTCAAGGCATACGCTTAATGTTTATTTTGAAAAACATAGATGATCAATCTATATAACTATCTATATCACTGACTCTGTCAAATCACCAAGCCTACAAGGTTGTCATATCATAACCACATCATAACCTGTCAAAACCCATTGGTATTCATTTTGTTTGAAATGCCTAATAGTTTCAGTAATAACTAGCAGCCTGGTAACTAGATAAAATATGTCAATATTAACAAGGTTTAAATTATCTTCACTCGTAGAAATCGAGCTAGAAATATTAAAATAAGGAAAATCTTCATAAATTAATCAAAATATTCTTTATTTATGAAACAATTTTATTTACTTAGTGCCAAAATAAAATCCAGGCATATTGAACTTCTTTATTGTATAAAAAAAATGGTCATGACAATTTTTTTTTTTTTTTTAGAAAAATTTAAAATAAAATTGTTTATTATTGAACGAACAAAACCAACTTAACTCCAGATAACATTAATATCTTGCACCAACTTTTTGTTCAAAAAAAAAAAAAAAAATGTTTACACAAGAGATTTTTTGTTAGTTTTCTCAAATTGTTAATACATCTCGTTATTTTTTGGTAAAAATCTGGAATTTTAGTGGAACTACGATTTTAGATAACCACCAAAACATGTTTCAGTAACAAATTTAACAATCTACCAAGTATTACAGTAAAAATACAAATTTTTGGAAATATATTGAACGTACATATATGAATGGAATTGCCCTGTAGATCGTCGGATTATATTCACAAGTAATATTAATTACCAGCTCTGAACTGGTTTGGGTGGGTCAGGCAAGTGAACTGGATTGTGCACGTGAATATTGACCATGAGTATAAGAGGTTATTAGATAGTAATCTGTCTGTGATCTGGTTCAAGTTTTCTTTTTTCGCTGCCATCTGGTCTTTTTACCAATTTACGGAGTGCGAAAGTGATATCCTACCATCAGCATCACAGTCATCAAGAACACAAAACTGTGTATTGAGATTCACTCTCTTTTTAAAATTAAAGAAAAACATATCTAGAAGTTTCCGCATTGATGATGAGGAAATCGAAAAAATTAATAATAGATAAAACATATTTTTATTTTCTAAAACCTGTAATAACAGCCCTTTTCGAAAATTAAATTTTATAAGATACCGGGGTCGTGCTGAAATTCGTTTAGATACAATTCATCTTAAATATTTGACATTATTGTATTTTATATGGTAAAATAGTCAACGTTACAATGCAGTATAAATTGGCATCGCTGATATTATTATTTATCTGCTCGCCCTATCTGTAGTTTTCACATGCACTTGTGCAAAACGTATTGGAACACGTTCAGTGGCCGACACTGTATATCCAATATTTTGATATTTAGATAATATGATAGATAATAATAATACTATGCCAACCCTGATGGTGAATGACCCAATAGAACTGACAAACTTGCATCTCTTTTGCTCTTTTAGTCTTTGGAACTCTCTATCTGGTTTTTTTTTGTTACCCGTAACCCCAAATCCTATATTTTCAGATGGTACAGCTTTAATAATAAAAAAATGTACGTACCTTTTCTTGTAGTATCCTACAGATGGGCTTGTACGAATTGGTGCCACAAATAAGATATTTTCCGGGGGCTGTAGGAAACAGTATTCTTATGTAATTTTGGCAATCATCTTCAAATTTTCCTTTGAGGTTACAAAGTTGGCTGTGCGCTTCTGAGGAAGGCCAAAATATTGTTGAATCCCTACGTTCGTTAAAATCGAACACCGATAAATTGTAAATTTGGTTTCTTCCTCCAAGCAATATGGAATTTTCGTCTTGATACAAGACAGTAAAATGATCTAATGAGGTTGTATTACCCCTAAATGTTATACTAGATAATTTATTGGCAGAATTTATTAGTTTTGTGCTGGTATTTGGCAACCATCCATGGCCTAATTTGATGAAATATATCAAAATAAAAGGTAAGAGGTTTAGGTTGAATTTAGAAAGGCACGAAAAGGCACTAGAAGTCATTTTGGGATTTTGTAAATGGTTTTACTTCTGCCGCCTCATTTTGCCACGATCCTGAACCTGCAACAATAGAAAAATAAATTAGTGTCTTCATTAACGATAATAATGCTTTTTTGGGTTTTATTTTGCGGCATTATTGGTAGTTTATCAAACTAATTTGGGTTTTGTTGACAGTTATTATAATTTATGAAATAAGGAATAAAATTAAATCAATGTTTTGTCACTCTTGAAGAAAACTGTTTAACGGTGACTTTTATGATTTCAGCGTTTGCTACATTTTGTTCTACGACATTCGATTAAATTTTTTAATATTAATCATCCCATGCGTCACTGAAGAAAATTACTTATTTCCCTCATTTAATATAAAAATAACTATTTTAATGATTATGTTTATCTACGAGTATTTTTTATTTATCTATATCCTGTCAAACTTATAATTTATGAAATATCTATCATAACTGCGATTAATATACTTCGTTAATATTTATTTATGGTAGAAGTGTGTGAAATAATGTTTTGGCCCACTACTTCATTTTAAAATAATATATTTTCAAGAAACACAAATTTTTAATACTTGACAATTCTTTGTTTATAATGCTGCAAACTATCTTTAAAAAAAATATGTATTATTTTTATTTATTATATTTATTTTTATTATTATTTTCATTACATCAATTATAGATTATTTTTGGAGTTATGTCAAAGGTCTTCCATTATCAAACTGGCATAAAATACCTTAAGATTAAGTAGATAATCGGCCACCATTCCTGCAAAAATAAAAGCAACATTGAATTCTAAGCTAACAGAAATATATCGAGTCAATTACTCAATTTACGTAAACAGAAAAAAACCCAATCATAATTGTTTACTTTCAAAGATCTATAAAATTAAACAAACTTTCAATTTTTCAAATTGCTAAAAGAATAATACACAAACTATTTTTAAAATTTCCTATGATGTCAGACCAATCTTTATTATGGAAAATTTATATTAGTTTTTCAAAATAATTTCTACGTTTTTAGTGCGACTTAATTACATATGAGGAGGAATATTTTTTTTACACATTAATTTTATTTTACCTTTATTTATTTATTTATTCTTTAACAGCACTTTTTAATACATCATTTTTTTAGAATTCTAAACAGCGTATACAGGCTATTAAATATAACCTGTAAGTATGAAAACGAAACAGCTTAATTCTTTTAATGTTTAACTTGTATTTCCACATTATGGTAGTTCCTATGTTGATTACAGCCAAATTTTAAATTATAAATAAAAGTAGGGTCTAGATTTATATTTTTTCTATCATAAAACGTTCAGATCTATTTATTAAGACCGAAAATCCTTATATTTTGAGAAGAATATTAAATATTTTAAATGAATATTAAAGAATAGCCATATCTAGGTGAGAGAGACTCAAGACTTTTCAGTCTATATCAAATCTACTATATTATATACTATATATTCTTGATTGGACATTAAAATGTTTTAAACGTGAGAAACTAGCCTTCAATAACAATAAGACAAGTTCAATAAGAGTGGTATGAAATTGTAAGCGGCAACCCGAAAAATGATTAACATACAAAAGTAAAGACTCAATTGGTACTCCTTAATATTTAGAATACTACTTGGAAATACGTTAGACAAATATAACTACAAGGTAACAACAAAATATTACATGATGTTGACATTGAATTCAAATAAATTAAAATAGAAAGTACATACGAAAATACAATCAATTCGTTTATCAGAACAATGGTAAATTCAAATAGTTTAGTATTTTAATATATTAAAAAAAAATTAAGATAGTAAAAAGTGTGCATAATAAATACTTTTATACAATAATGATTAGAATTTAGTTCAAGCTGAACTATCAGTAAAAAGTTTGTCAAAATTGATTATGAATTTCTTAGCATTAAAAAAATGTAATTCTAAATTTAAATATTCTATTTATATCTACTCTTATAAAATAAATATTATGTTTGGTTTATACAACTAACGACTAAAAGTCCCCAGGGGATCGACCAGGCACAAGTGTTTCCCAAATTTAACCAATATGTTTGCCATTTATCTAAAAGCTATTTTAAGACTTAATCGAGCTAGACAGGCAATTTATGAGGGAACTGAACCTAAAATAACGACTATTCACCTCTTTTAATTTTTTTAGGGTTCTACGACTATTAAAAATGATTGAGGTATGCTCTGATAAAGGATAAAATTTGAAAATTCGACCAACATTCTTTTGTTCTGGAAGCGAAGTATACAACTGTGAAGAAAAACAAATTAGGGATCCTTTGTATTATCTATAAGTGGCGGTTTTTTAAAATTCATTGATTGGTTTCATGTTTATTTTCTTTATAGATGGACTAAACGAACTAACTAATAAATTGATAAAGTCAATTTAATATACTTATCCGATTTTATAATTAGTTTAGTTGTTTTTAATTAAAATTATTCGTGTTAATAAAACACCGGTATTTATGATTTATGTATTTTAAATATGTTATTTCATAGACAAATAAAGGAAGTATATACGGAATCAATAAAATTACTTTCTAATATCATTTCTCCGTTGGATAAAATTGTTCTATCTGTAACCGTTATATAATATTTTCAAATTTATTACAATATATATTATTTAAGAAACAGTATATTAGAATTTAAAATAATTAAAGCAAATATAAAATAGATTAGTTTTATAATCTATAGAATAAATCGTAATGAAATAAATTGAAAATATTGACATTATTCAAAAGTACCTATGATAGTGGGACTTAAATATTTTATGAATGTAGATTTTTATTAGAAGTAAATAAAAATCAAATCATACAAAGAAAGTAGGTAAACAATAAAAGGATACCATAAAATGTTACTCAGTTCTAAGCGCATTAGAAAGAAATGCTAATTATTTTCCTATGTTTACACCTTACATACATTGTTTTGTTATATATTCACAGTTAGACCTAGAGTACATTGTACTCGCATGTACATATACTTATTGTTTTATATCGTATGAAACATTTAAAATCGAATCGTGACCATAATAGTGTAAATAACAATTTCTCAGCATCTTATTAGAGAAAATTTGTTTTGAATCATGAGAAAAACTACTAGGAAGCAAATGCAGTCAAGACTTTTTTCAGGTGAGATAAGCATGTTGCAATTAAGAAATAAAAACACCGTTGTCTTTGTCTCATTATTTAATGATTTATTTTCCGCAAAACGCGGTAATTTTCTCATAAACTGAACCGAATATGCATTAAAAATTATATACAGTATGATGCAACTAAAAGGAATAAATTCATTATTTAGTAATTCGATTATTTCTGGAAAAACTCCTGAAAACTGTCGATTTTTATTTTAAAACGCGCGTTCTGTATTTGAAAGGTTTTTTTAGGAAACTTTGAAAATAACATAAAAAATTTGGCTGCATCGTTGGCCAAAAAATTGCAAAATTTTGAGTTCATTTGCATTCCTAACTTAACCCGTAACTGTACTCACATATGAACGTAATTCAAATTTGGGGCGCTGTTTTAAATTTGCACAAGGACGCCAAAAGTGCTAGGTGCGGGCCTGCCTGCCATATCTACTGAACAATTTATTGTACATATCTGTTGTTTTTAACAAAAATTGTTTCTGGAAATCGCTGGAAATTATTTTCAAATTCCTAACTTCACAGCTAGAGGGCGTTATGCGCATTATCAATGAAAAAAAACTCGTTAAAAAACTTCAAAAAAATGTCGAACATATCAAAATCATATTCGGTACTAAATTTTACTTACTGTTGACAGAAAAAATATAATTTAAACTTTCCGGAAGCTATGGAGTTGTTCCATCAGGCCTGATGATAGCGAGTCAGCCGAAACTAAATTTTTAATAAAATATTTTTTATGTGGTATTAATTTGAATAACGCTTACCATATGCGTGAATTTTATTTATCAAAATCCAAACAAAAAATTGCATTTCCTGATATATTGCGCCTAATCAAATATCTTGTTTATATAAATAATCGCAATATCAATAAAAAAATGTTTACTGTCGCGATGCCATTTAAGTTGTCGGTTAAATAAACATAAATATAAATTAATAAACGACTCATTCAAAAAAAGCACCGTATTCCTCTTCGAAACTAACGGGAATTTATTTAAATTTATTTCAAATGGAAGGCAATCTGTGTTTTCTATTTTGATCCCAAGCACTCAAATAATATACATCACTAATAATTATTACGGCTTAAAATCGTTTTAAAACTCAAGATGAATCTATTAAAATTGACCGAAGGTAATCTATATTTTTTTTAGAACATAAAATTACAGTGATTGAAACATTTTATAATAATGCATGCTCAAAATTTTAAATGCGTGAATCATATAGTAATTTGAATAACAGATTGGCCAGTTTAAAAAACTTTTTAAAAATAGAGGTTAATATGAAAATAAATTTTAATAGATTTATTGTGTTTAGAACTAAACGCTCTCAGTACTATAACACTGAATAGAATTGCTCTCAAAGAGTTTATAAACCTCCATTGACATTACTCGTTTGCGTTAGTGACTGTAATTTACATAAATAAATAATTAAAAAAAGATGTAGAAAATAAAGGAGGAAATTCCGGAATTAAAAGAAAAATTCTTCCAGTGGGAATCGAACCCACGATATTTGGTTACCGTACCAAAATCATAGCCTATATACGGCAGGAGCGTACGCACCCTACCGATTCCAAATCGATTGTTCATTAAATAATGTAAAGGGGCAGCATTAAGACCCTATACCCTACAGACTTTTTTTGAGAAACAGATTTAAACTCATTAACATGACTACGCATTTTCTTGTTTTACTCTACACAGTCTATCAGAAATGTATTTATTTTTTAAATGATGCGTGTCACAATGGCGGCTCTAGGGGAGGGGCTATGGGGGCCATGTCCCTCCCCTTCTCGAGATAAAAATTCTTACGATTTATGCACCTTTTATTCAAAAAAATATGCTAAAAAGAGAATGGCTAAAGGCAATGCTCCCCCCTCGAAAATTCGTCTTGGAGCTGCCCTTGGCGTGTTATG